GTTGCCTATTCTTAATCAACGAAGAAGGAGACACACACAAAGAAGATTTTTCACCTTCCTGTGCTTCTCCTCTACCATCAAATCTGTTTTTCTTTCCCACCCTTTCCTTATAAGAAAATGGTGGCCAAGGAAAGGGACTAAAATTAAGCTACGTACATATTTCTCTTTGAACATATGTATGTATATTAATAATTATGTGCAACGTGACAGTTTAATGCGTTAATAACGTAGCAGGTGTGCTTGCGACATGGTTTCGACATAGGCGTATTTCTGAAGCTTAATACGGCTACTATTAGCCTAACAATGACGTTCTGTAAGGGTCACGTGGATCACGTGGTCACGTGAAGTTAAGCCAGCCGTCCCAACTCACGTGCGCGGTGGCACATTTTCAATATACGTAAAGCAAAATCAGTTAAGCCTCCAGCATACGCAATGTTTTAATCCGCATCAGTTCCGTAACTTTGTTCATCATCGATGTTTGACGGGTATTAAGGCAATTAGTCTATGTAGCTTGCAAAGACTGTACTCGATTGGATTATAGTTGATATAAAAAATTTAAAGATGTCAGCATCACATTTTTATAGATGCTAGTTACTATGTGACGTCTAAACGGGCTAATTCTAGACAGGATTTGGATAATTTTTTTTAATTCAACGTGAACGAAGTCACGGGAGAACTTTAGTATGCATATAAATTCCAAGTTTCTTGGCATACATAAGCCCTTAGTTACACGTACATTAGTACGGTTTCACTTTAAACATCCGAAGTTATATTGACCTGAAAGTCCTTCAAACATTCCCCGTAGCACGCAACGTGCCCTACGAAGTCCTACAAAGAGCGGCTACAAACTTGTTTCTTGTCACGTGCTCCTTAAACGGAAATCATTGTTTGCCAACCGACTTTCAGTTACGAACATTTAAGCGGCTTCATTTGCGTTGCGAAGTTAAAATTGACCTTACGTAAAATAAATCTGTTGAAATCGTTCGGAAAAGTAATTAATCGAAGTTAAAAACTATAACAATGTGTAATCATACTTTAACTTTTTCCTAGTAATTAGAATTTTGCGTAAGCAATCAAAACATGAAATTGGGAAATTCAATTAAGAATCTTTACAAATGTTCTATAACTTAAAATTGTAGTGCAATAAAATTGTAAATACACTTGATGAAAGCAAACATAGTTTGAATTTATTTTTTAAACCTAACTATCTTAGAGCTTAATAAAACAAATCGTAATAAGTAATCATTACTAAAAAGATGCAGACAGCACTTTTAGCGCGAATTTATCTAAAAAACTTTCGAACTATCAAAATCCTATTAGAATAGATAATAGATTTTAACCTGAAAGTTATGCGAGCGACCGCACTCATTATGTGGAGTCGACATTAACATTGAAAAGCGGCGGCAAATTTCATTCGCGTCTCGCAATTAAATAGTCGGCTGATGTAGTGTGGGTACTGACTCTGTTAGCGTGCGTTCGCACGGGCAGACTTTGTACGCCGCGGTAAAGTTCAAGGTCA